CCCCCCCCCCCGGTTCTATAATGAGTGCCGTGTCTTTACTATGAATCTCTTTTTACTGTTTCATGTGGCAATACAGATCTGATATTCTGCAAAGTGCTGAGGGTTTCCCATAAACGTTACTAACCATCATAGCGTCAGCATTTTTTTTTCTGTCTGAAAAACGATTGAAGTCGAGGTCGCTGACAGGTAGAAAAAGAAACACTAAAAAAGATATCGCCGCCGCCGACTCTAATCGTGTATCTGCTGAGTTAGGGCACACCCTTTTTTGTCGCATATCATGTTATTTACAACGATAATTACTATTGGCCCTATATAGTAATATGTGATATAATTTCCAAAAAAACAATCTTCACTAAACTTTGAACAAATCTGGTAGATAATTTAGGAAAGAAATTAAGTTTTTTCATTTTTCTAAAAAATCATATGTACCGCACTTATTCGGTTAGGGTCAGACACCGACGATATGTGGAGGGGGTTATAGCGGCTTAGGGACAGAAAGGCGGCATGCCTTAAGAAATGCTCGCATAAGTCAGGGCCACTTCGGTAAGTACTGTCCATTGACTCTTCAATCGACCAATAGGATCAGCAACAAAGAGAACACGTAATGAGGCCCTAGTTTATATTAGTGATTATGTCCCCTGTGAAGACCAAGGGAGACCACCAGCGGAGAGGGATGGTCTTCAGTTGTACTTTCTTCATACGTCTGGATGCCCAATGAAGGTTACGCACAACTAAAACCAATTATTGCCGCTTTTTGCATGGGGAAGGGGGGAGCAAGGGGGTGGGGTGGATAAAATATTATCATTGCCGTTATCACCTTGGATTAAGGTATAATATGCCTCCAACAAACACGTTCCACTTTTTCCTATCCCTGGATAGCTTCTTGACATTAATCTCATGTCTCTATACTTACCTGTACGTGGATTGTTGTTATAACTTACTACAAATATGGAATGTTTGTTGAAATCTGATTTTTGAGGCTCCTTTTGTGAAAGTGATTTTTTAATGAAGAGCGAGTGCGCGAGGATTGTTAGATTGAGAACTACGTCCACTCTCTCATGGCTCTGACTTTGAATAAATTGGGATTCTGACTTCATAACATCTTCTTTTCAAGTACCAAAACCATTAACTTAAACTGTCTTCTGTCTTTTATACCAAGGTTATGCTCACTTAGGTAGTCAGCAAAATCTTTCTAGTCAGCACAACTGTTTTAAAAGAGAACACAAAAAGCACAAATAAATGTAATGTGATATTAATATTAATTTAGTTGCTTGAACCCTGAAATTGTGTGGGTTGTCATGCCCGGAGTTTGCACTCATAAAAACGTAACTGTTCAGTATTGATGACAATCCAGCGTTCAGTGTGGGTGGTAGACGGGTGCATAAAGCAGGCTATGCTTTCACTACAGGAATTCCTCAGAAAAGGACTTTCTGGCTGTCTCTTTTTTCTTTTTAAAAAGATTGGGTTCAGTGAAGCTTTAGTCCACCACTTCATTTTTCTCTTTCTTTTTTTTTTCAAGTTACCTTTGCTTTTCATCTCTATCAGACCAATTTGTCCACCTTTTCCTTCTCTTTCTCCTTCACTTCCTCTTCCTCCAGCTCCTCCTCAGTCTCCAAACACACACAAACACACACACACACACACACACACACACACACACACACACACACACACACACACACACACACACACATATACACACACTCT